ATGTTGTGACTTCAATATTGATTTATATTTCATTAAATATGATTGTATGCAGTTTCTGAGTATACCTTCCATACTTTTACAAGTAATATACGTCAATGACACTGGTCTATAGCAGCTTTTAATTTATCTCCCTTTTTGAATAGTGGTGTAATATTTGCTGCTCTCCATTGAGTTGGTAGTTCACTTTTAACAAAAGATTCTATAAAAATTAAAGTTAATGGCCACGCTAGAGAATCCGTACAATTTTTCATAATCAACGGATGTATAGAATCAACTCCATATGTTTTATTGATATCAACGTGTTTCAATCTACTTAAAACATCAAAATAATCTATGTTAACTGCATCAATAATAATATCCCCTAAATTCTCGATTTGTGGAAGATCTTCTGTAAAATTTTCAATGGTAAACACATCTTGATATTGTTTATTTAAAATTTCAACAATTTCACTTTGATCATTTGTTACGCAACCAGTTTGATCTCTTAATGCTTTAATTACTTGTTTAATCGTTTTTTGACTATTCGCATATTTATATAGCAGTTTCGGATTTACCATTGATTTTTTAACAAGATCATTTTCATAGTAACATCTTGCTTTACGCAATTCTATTTTCACAGTTTTGCAAATATTTTTATATTTCATTACTTTATTCAAATCTTTCCAGTTCGATGATAAATTTTGATAACGCAAATTTGTTTTGAACGTACTAGAAGACTTACTTCATCAGTAAACCATGGATTATTTTATTTTTCTTTCTTGAATCTACGTCAATTATTGGAATAAAAGTATTGCATGATTGACTAATTTTTTCAATAAACAGATCATACATAAATTGAACTGATAACCCATCAAATAAATAATTCCAGTCAATTTTATCAATACTTAGGCTTATTTGTGGATAGTCACATCTACTGTAATCAAATTTATACTTTCGATATTTTTCCATTGCAGTAGCATCAAGGTTAAATTTACAAGTTAAAACCAAATGTCCATGATTTATATTTCCTAGAACTGGGTTAGACTCATGTTGATAGACTCGTTCATTGTTTTTTGTAAAAATAAGATCCAAGGTATTTTTTGTAACATATTGTGCATTTTGAAAGGTTGGGATTGATACGTGTTGGTACAAAAAACATTCATATATAATATTAATAAATTCATTTTCAACAGAATCTTCACCTACTAAAATATCACTAACGTATCCAACCGACCATTTTACATTTGAAAAATTAAAATCACCAACAATTAACAAATCTGCAAAATTATTTTTTTTTACTAATTTACAAGCTTCTGTGAATATTTGACTCATTTCAAGCATATCTACTTGTTCGCGTGGTCTGTACACGCAACCAATTAAATATTTTTTATCATTTCTAACTATAATGATTCATATTTGTTCAATTTTACTTCTATTTAATATACCTTCGTTTACCTCATAAGATATTAGGTTGCTATCTATATATAGCGCAACCCCTCCTTCTATACTCCCATCCCCCCTATTTCGTTTATACAAAGAATATCCTTTTAAATAAATTTCCGATGTCTGATTAAACCAGGTTTCTGTAATAGCAATTATTTGAGGATTTTTAAAACTTCATAAGATTTTAAGTTCTTCAACTTTGTTTACTAAAGATGTTGCATTCGTATATAAAACATTAAATGATAACAAACTTACTAACTTTTTATGTTGTTGTGTTAAGTTGTATTTTAAATTTGACAATTCCATTTCCACGGATCGCATATCTAAAATATTTAGTAATAATTTTTAGTAAACAAATGTTATTTAACTTATAAAAGAGTTATAAAGTTATAAAAATTAGAGTAAACTGGGGTAAGAGTAAATTAAAAAAAAAGTAAACCGTTTAGCAGTTTTGTTTATTTTGCATTTACTGAAAGCAAAACAAAATTTTTTTAAAAATGTAAGACACCGTATTGTAGAGAACTTTTTCCTCAATCTAAAGGTGTAAATATCTAAAGGTACAAACTGTGAATCTCTCTCTCTAGTAAAAAAAAATATATAAAAAAAAAAAAAATTCAAAACTTCCATGACTAAAAATAAATTTTACTGAGAAAAAAGTAGGAATGACTATTTTCCTGAAATCTTCAACTCGGGATATTTTTAATAAAAAATATTTAATAATTAATGGATAAAATGTTATCTCTAATTTAGGCAGTTATTATGGACAATATTATGGTAAAATACTATGAAGCATATTGTAACAAATTTAGAAAGCCCAAGTTGGAAAATTCTTTATTTGTTATTTTCTTGAGTTTTTTTATTGAAACTTTAAGTAACAACTATGATTTTTTTATATATATATTTAATATTTATTTATCCTGTTAATTGCTAAGCATATTGGCTTTCAGTGCCGTAGCAAGCTTTGTCTAAGGCTAAACATAACTTGCACCGTGATCCTTAAAGGGGTAGAGACATTTTTCAATGTTCAAATTTCAAACTTTTTATCTTAATTTTTATATGATGTAAAAATTTTTATATGATTTAAAAAGTTCTCTATAAAACGAAACTAAAACCATAAAATATTTTTTCTTCAATAAAGTTATTGAATTTGAAGCTAAACCCTTTACTCTTGCCCACTTGCCTACTTTACTCTATATAGTTTCTTTTATTTCTTTACTATATAGTTTCTTTTATTTCCTTACTTTTTAACCAAATGTTTTTTTTGAATATTAAACTTTTAGTTTTATTAGCTTTTATTTTAATTAAAAAAAATTCATTGAAATTCTTGTGTTTAGTCATTTCTTTATAAAATCAATCCTTCATTTTTGTTATAACATGCATTTTTATCATCGAAAATTAAGGTTTAAAATTTAAAAAAACTTATATATTTACAAATAAACGCAATGCAATTTGTATAATATTTATTTTTAACATATAGTTCACTAAATTTTATACGATTCACTATTAAAATTTGTAAACTTTAATTAACTTTAATAAACTTTAAAAAATTTTATTAAATTGAAAAAAGATTAAACTTTTTATTTTTTTAAGTAAACAATCAACAAAAGTAAACTTTTGCTTTGATTTACAAGTGTAAAAATTTTAGCAAAAATTAAAATTAATTCTTTTAGTGCATATAAGAAATGTGTAAAGAACATGTTGAATTGTCTCTCTTATATTTCTTTTTAGAACAAGAACTGTTGTAAAAAGAAAAATAAGAGTGGGCAGGTAAAGCGGCGGATCAACCTGCCATTACTGCTAAGAGCTGCTATATTGTTACATTTGATTGCATAACATCTTATGGAACCTAAGGACTGCTATAATGTTACATTTGATTGCATAACATCTTATGCAACCTTGCACAAAGTCTTAAATAATCTGATTAAAAAAGATATTAGATTAGACTCTGAGTGGCTTCTAGCTTACTGCCGCAAAGGAATGTAATTACATCAACTGAGGGTTTGGGATGGGGCAATAATCATTAAACACTATAGAAGATATATGCATACAACTATTAGAGCATACTTAGGGTAGCACTCTGATAAAATGAATTAAGGTACTGCAGGGGCTACAATGAACAATCTAATGAAATAGGGGGACATACATAAAAATATTGCTGCTGCATCTATTCGTTTTGTAATAAAGATTTGCAAGAACTTTAAGTATAAAAAACCATTATTTGCTGATTTCATCATGTCTTGCATAACATAATTTTTTTTTTTTTCTGAAGCATCTTTTTAACAGAAAATATGTAATAAACATTGGGACGCCCTTTTGAATATAAAAAAAAAAAAAACTGAAAACCTGAAAACTTTTGAGTAATCCCCAAACCCCTGAATAAACCCTATTTTTCGTTTTTTGACTATTTCTTAACAACTTTTTGTCTTTTTAAAGTTAAAATATATTTTGTCAGGTTTAAAATTTATAAAAATATATGTATATATATATATATATATATATATATATATATATATATATATATATATATATATATATATATATATATATATATATATATATATATATATATATATATATATATATATATATATATATATATATATATATAAATATATATATATATATATATATATATATATATATATATATATATATATATATATATATATATATATATATATATATATATATACTTGAGAAAATGATGCACAACAGATGATATAATTTCTTTAAAGAAAACAATCTTATTTATTCCAAGAAGTTCGATTTAAAAAAAAAAATTAACTGAACATGCATTCCTTTACTTGGTTTGAGAAAAATTAAATTCCTTTACACACGTATAAGTTACATCGGGGTTTTGTACTCAAAAACCTTTGATACAATCGAATACAAAATATTCTCACTAAAGCCTAACATGTATGGTATATGGGGTAGATCCATAAAGTGAATAGAAAGCTTTTGATATAAACGTGTGCATTACGTATATTGCGGAGACAATAAACTCTCTAATCTGTCTTTAGAAGAGTGTTGTAAACCTCAAGGATCAATATTTGGGCTATTGCTTTTCTTAATCTGTGTAATCAATTTCTGTATGACAAAGTATTTTACTAGAATACAAAAATAATTTGGCGGCAGTATTAGGTTAGTATCAAAATTTAAACACTAGGTCAATCTTAAAATTAAAATTGTTTTGAAACCCTGCATCGTTTTGGGGTATAAATTTTTGTGGAAACCTTTCTTTGTTAAAGAACAGCCCAGGTAGTTTGAGAAAAGCACAATTCTTAGTTCTAAATTGTGCGTGATTCAATATGAAACTGCTCCTTAATTTCTATAATATGAATCATCAAAAAAAAATGTATTGAAGCACACAGTCCATATATGGCCAACAACAATAAATTTTTTTTTTTTATATGTTTATTGTTAAGTATGATACGTTGATATGAAACCTGAACTGAAATTTTATTTCAATATATATAAAATATTTTGTTATATTAAAAAATATTTAATAATAAGTTTTAATCATAAAAAATAGATGAGTGAAAATGATCTAATAATGTTTACTTTAAAAAATTTTTTAGGTTCCTTTTTTGATACATTTAAAATATTTATTCCAAACTTTATTATTGTACTTGGGATGACCTTGGCATTGCTTGCTTCTATTTTTGTTCTTCCAAAGAA